TTTTTCGAAATTTAGTCAAATTTTTTTTGAATGTTGTATATTGTTTGAGTCCTTGATTTTTATATGGAGTTGGTTAAAACGCAAAAAAATAAAATATTTTTTACTTGAAAAACATTGTGAATATTAACAAGAAAATCACCAAGCGCTTTTTAAAGTCACTGTATATGTCTAACTCGAGATGAAGTTTTTTCAAATGATGAAGTTTCATTGTTGCCTTTAGTTTCATCACTTTCACTTTTGGTTGAATACCGTTTAATTAGTTAAATAAAAAATTCCTTAAGAACAATTTTAATTCTTATTGAAATAACTAAACAAATAACAAATCTATAGTTTTTATTCAAATAACTATAAAAAAGTTATTGGTAGATATTTTCCAGATTTGGTAGATTTTTTCAAGCGGATGGTAAGTATTTTGTGTCGTCAGTGGCAACCCTGGTGGTAACACACGCGTTAAAATGTCAGCTGATTCCTTTTTGTCACTTATTTGCTGGAATTTTCTCCCGCGAAAAGTGCATACATTTAATCAGTTCAATATACGTTTCTGTCGTGGAATTAATAAATGTTTATAAATAAAAGAACTTCACGTCAGCTGATTCGAAAGTAATTTTAACCAGAAAAAGAATAATGGGCATTTGAAGTTGAAAGTGTTACCGAGTTACCAGATAACGAATTAATACATTAACGAGGATAGTCTGAATACCCTTATTATTTTATGGTATATACAATTTTAAGTATACGGATATGTTTATAACTATATACATATGTATTGTACATATATGTATCTATACTCAATTTAAAATCTAATCTCTACTACATTTACATAATAGCCTACATGGCCGGTTCAGCTACGACGCCAACAGGAGCATTACTCGCAGAGCTGCCTCCGAATCGCAAAGGAGTTGGTCAAATAATGTTGGGAGGCGCCTGGGTGCCCACTGGCAGTGGCAGCGTAGGTGAAGATTTAGCCGATTTTATGCCGCAGCCGTAAGAAGAAGCGATGCTACCGGTACCGTTGCTGCTGGGAGGCGACGGCGGCGTCTCGGGGCTTATAAGCGGCGTGCAGCCAAAATATCGCCAAGGGTGATATAGCGTTCCCGCGTACATAGCCTGAAGACGAGCCTGTAGATCGAGTGCGATGGTGGGATCCAGAGGGTAATGTGTTAGAGCCGTTGTCGATGCAAAAGCACCAGGTAAATGACGCGTTGGCATATTGAGCGTCAACTCCAGTGGCATTGGACCAAAACCGTACTTGGCCGCAGTAGCTAGGTGATGATGGCTTGTAGGAGAATGCTGTTGATGGTGAGCATGATGTGGGTGTTGAGCGGCGACGGCTACAGCTGCAGCAGCTGCTGCGGCAGCCGCCGCTGATGCACCCATGTGGCCATGTTGTGACTCCTTTTGTGAGGCGTTGGCCGTGGAGCCGGGCACTGGAGATTTATTGAGGGTCTTTGGTTTGCGACGCGGACGGTATTTGTAGTCTGGATGTTCTTTCATGTGAAGCGCACTGCAAGAAAAAAAGAAGCAGAATAGAAAAAGTATTAAAGAACGATTGGAAGTTGTGGGCGTGGGAAACAGAAATTGCTAGATTGGATGTGATATTTATATGAAGATAAAAAAGGGTCTTAATGAGTAGGGGGCTCGATGGCGACCGACGGTTGTGGGTTTATTAAAAGGGAACAGCCATAAGACTCTGTAAGTGTGATCGTGCGTCAATTACTCCAACAGAAACGAATTTTGAGCCAATTATAAAGAGTTTAGACCTATGTACATATGTATGTATGTGCATAAGTACATAACCATGAATGAATGCGCATACATACAGTGGCGCTCAATTATATCGCACACATTTGTTTTTTACTGTATTCACAATGTTTTACATGATACATTTTCTCGTTCATTTTTTATGAAAATATAGTCGAATCTATACCACAAATCATATAAGTCAAAGTTTAAAACTTGGTGTACAACTCAGGAAAATTTAACGAATTTTAAAAAACTGTCATCAAAATTTCCAACTTTCCACACTATATAGAAACTCTTGCTTTGTTAACTTTAAACTTTAGTATAATAATGTGCAGGTTGGAAATTTCTGAAAATCTCTTTGATTCTTAAGAGCGTTTTTATAATATTAACTGTGTTTTACGTGGTACATTTTTTGATTTTTAAAATTATCTTTTGTCGAGGGTGTTGCGCGTTTTCATCCTCATGAAAATAAATTTCTTCAAGTGTTATATCGAAGAAAAAAAGCATCACCCTCGACAAAAAAATTCTAAAAAATCAAAAAATGTATTACGCAAAACATTGTGAATATTATAAAAACTAAATGTGTGCTTTTCACACGAGCGCCACTGTATGTATGTACATATATACACACATTGTGTGTACACACATACTTATGTCCATATATCAAAAGTATTTCATTGTTTTGGCGACCGACAATAAATAACCGATGTCTCGGTAATGTGTGCTCTTTATTCTTTCTTCATTCTTTGTCAATCGATAATGCCACCAATTATAACTCAAACAATTGCTGACATTCTTACCTGACAATTCCTCAATCCCCATTCAGTTGATAGCATTTCTTCTTTAGTCAACATATCCGGGGATATGTACATGTTTACATTTCTATATATGTAAGAGCACATGTGTACATTGATACACTCATGTGCGTGTACATATGTGTGTGCAAATACACTCTAGGAAATCTTAACGTTTTGTTCTTTTCTCAAATTGATATGCTTATCTGCTCATCGATAACACCTCGGTAACGTTTTGCGCACAATCACATGGGGCACAAAAACNCATGTTTACATTTCTATATATGTAAGAGCACATGTGTACATTGATACACTCATGTGCGTGTACATATGTGTGTGCAAATACACTCTAGGGAATCTTAACGTTTTGTTCTTTTCTCAAATTGATATGCTTATCTGCTCATCGATAACACCTCGGTAACGTTTTGCGCACAATCACATGGGGCACAAAAACCAAGAGCATAAACACACACAATGCTAGCAATGCCAGCGCCAGAAATCTAACAATGTATTTCCTTGTTTGCAGAAGAATTATTTGCAATGTGTTTTGATCGACCCGTAATCTCTTCCGAAGCATGCTTTTATGTGCACTCGCTAATCTCACCTATAGTCTCGAATCGTTGTCGACTATCAGTGACGCTCGACCTTTTTTGCGTTGGATACTAAATGTGCAACTTACGTACACATGTTTCCTTCTTTAGGGCACTTCAAAAAAATATATTTCAATCCGAGACTTCGCGGAAAAATAATAAGANCGATAACACCTCGGTAACGTTTTGCGCACAATCACATGGGGCACAAAAACCAAGAGCATAAACACACACAATGCTAACAATGCCAGCTCCAGAAATCTAACAATGTATTTCCTTGTTTGCAGAAGAATTATTTGCAATGGGTTTTGATCGACCCGTAATCTCTTCCGAAGCATGCTTTTATGTGCACTCGCTAATCTCACCTATAGTCTCGAATCGTTGTCGACTATCAGTGACGCTCGACCTTTTTTGCGTTGGATACTAAATGTGCAACTTACGTACACATGTTTCCTTCTTTAGGGCACTTCAAAAAAATATATTTCAATCCGAGACTTCGCGGAAAAATAATAAGACAAACTGAGTTCGTTTTCGAACTATGAAAAAGACAGAACTAACTTTATTTATAATTTCACTCTTATTTATATACAGTATATTTTGCTTAGCTGCCCATCCTTCTTTGCACGAAAAACTTGTGCGCTTAACCGAAAAAGCACTTAAGCGAATTTTCTTTACTACTTCAATGAGGAAGGTATCCGAATCCCTATGAAACCAAATAATGGAGGAGCACTTACACGTAGAAATTACTGCAAGACAAATTTTTTCCGAATGGTATCTAATTATCTATATAACTACATAAAATAATTGCCGTTTTCGTTGTTCTGCGAGATGAGCAAAATAAATAATAGCTTGTAAAATTAGGGTAAGTGTAGAGCCAGTGCAGGTAAACGTAATACTTTCTTTGATAATTGATAATAGTTGCAAATTTTTAAGGCAGGTATCACTAATGTGCAGGTATGTTGAATGCAAGTATCGGAGCAGTTTCCTTATAAATGTTAAAAATAATGCCGCTGATGCGCATTTTGGGGTAGGTATCTTAAATGTGCACTTAAGCACAAAGGCAGCAAAGCAAAATATACTGTATTTACAATTATTTACTTAAGGACTATTTCACCATAAGGCGTTGGCATTGCATCATGCTATGATGAAATGCCAATGTCTTGGACAAAGAAGATATTAGTTACAATTGAATGGAACTCTCCATTCAGAGCGGAAAAAGCATATCAATTAAATTAATGCTCAAAGTCAAATGTGATTTCAATTATGCAGCTGCATAATTGCAGAGTATGCAAAATTGCACTATGAATCTACAAGATACAAACTATGCTTTTTCCAATAAGCAATATTGTTTATATTTCTCATTGTGCCGCTATGTGTGGTCTGCCGTTAACTCTAAGATGAATCGTCCCCGATTCTTCATTACTTTCTGTTAATTTTTATACCCGAGCGCTTTTGTGCACAAGGGTATTATAACTTTGTTCACATAACGGTTGTTTGTAACAGGCAAAACGAATGGAGATAGATATATGTAGATAAATGTATACATAAATGATCAGAATAAAAAGAGAAATCGATTAAGCGGTGACTGTCTGTCCGTCCGTCTGTGCACACGATAACTTGAGTAAAAATTTAAAAATATTGAAAATGGGACAATAACCACGCCTACCACCCATATAACGGTAATTTTCAGAAATACGAAAACTGCGATATTTTAGTAACAAAATTGATATTTACAATAATTTTTAGACGAAAAATAAGAATATTATAAATTTTTGGAAAATGGGCGTAGCCATGCCCACTTATGGTTACATGTGTATATCTTGGCAACCGCTGCACCGATTTCTTCCAAACTTGGCAAACTTGGCCTTATTACAGCATACCAAATGGCCACCACGCCCACATTCCATATAAGGGTAATTTAGAGAAATACGAAGTCTTCGATAAATCAGTAAATATTAAAGCTAATTTATTCAAAATGGATGCTTGCAATAATTATTTACCAAGAAATACGTTTATTATAAAATTTTGGGAAATTTATGATCACTTATATGTATCTCCTTAACCGTTCTACCAATTTGTACCAAACTCGGTATGGTTATTGTGTTTGCCACATAAAAGCAAAACGTTGAAAATTATTGAAATCGGACTAAAATTACGGCCGCTTTTCATATAACGGTAAATTTCAGAAATGCTTGAAACTTCAATATTTCGAAATTTAAGGACGCTAATTTACTCAAAATTGATACACCCCGGCTTATCATGAAGCGGTAGCTTTCGGAAAGGTGAAAAACATATATTTAACACTGGCGCCGGGTACTCTGTATGTATTTTCTTGAATTTCTATATTTGCGCTTAGGTTCGCAGTTTAATTGGGGTTTTTTGAATTATATGTTAATGTTAATTACCAAAATTATGCATACAATTATGACAATGTGCAAAATATGTAGATAAATGAGTTTTACCTTTTTTGTCTTCTTTGCCTAAAATATTTATATTTTCCAATTTTAGTTATTTTTTGGTTGTTTCTATATATTCTAAAATTCCAAAATTGTTAACATGATTATTTTTTAAATAACTCCAAATTTTGGTTTCAATATTTTCATAGATTTTATTATTTATTACAGTATTATTTTCAAATGTTACTAAACATGTTCCTGATAAAGTTAGATTTTCTACAATATTTTCTCCTGAAAGCAGTATTGCTCCTGGTTCTATTATTTAAATTTGAAAATTTCTTTCTTTTATTTTCTTATATTTAACTTGTTTTCTGTTTAAAACTTCTGATAAACATTTACTTTGTTCAATTTACAATATGTATTTATAACTTCTGTTTTACAATTTTGTACATTAAAAAATGCATCATTACATTTTGTTATATTTTTATTAATAATAAGCTTACCATCTAGTTGTGCAATAGCTCTAACTTCGTAATATTTACAAGTTAACTCAATTTTTGGATATTTTATATAAAGTAAAATTATATCATTTTTTTTGACTATTTTGAATTTTGAAATATTCATTAGGTCTGTAATGGTCATTGTACCGTGCTGGTAATCTTACTAATATTATAAATGGGTGTTTCCAGCGGAAGGTCCACCACGACAAAAAAAAATAAAAGTTTTATATCTAACGTATTTACGGGCCGATTTGTCTGCTTTTTAAAATATATACTGGCTATGTAAGAAGAATCATGTTTACATAAATTGGTCTTCCTAGGTGGTGCCAAGGTCGAGATATTTCGAAAAACCGTATTTATGGTCCGATTTGGTTCGAATTTGGCGCATGTGGTTGAAACATAATAAATCATAGATTTCTAATAAATTGACCCTGAATTGGCGCTGAAGTCAAAATATAAAGTATATTCTACATAAAATACA